CTTTCTGTACCCAGGGCCCGTTATGGATCAAAAGCATTCATACAGATAGTGCGTTTCAGAGTCTCCGCGATGTGACCTTGACGAAATTCCATCCTGAAGTTAGCCAAGGCGATAGCGATGATGTTGAAGCTCCACCAACGACAGAAGAGCTATTGGCGTCTGCACTGGCCGTGCTTCCCCAGTTAAGGAGCCTGTCATTCGAGACGTGTGGAGTTGTCAGTGGGCGGCTCTTACCCCTGTTACCGAGCAACCTTGTCAGCCTGAACATTACCGCTTGCGGCGAGCTACTCTCTGATGCGTTCCAAGCCTTTTTGGCCACGCATGGTGCACACCTGGAAGAGTTGGTGCTTAATCATAACCAAGCTCTCGACTTGTCTTTCCTTGTCGATCTTAAGCGGTCATGTCCCAAGCTTGAAGTCTTGAGAATGGACACGACGTACTACAGCTCTCTGGCCATGTCTTCGGACAACGAACCCCTCTACGAAACCCTTTTGAGCGAGAATGAGATTCCTACGTGGCCATGCACGCTGCGAACACTTGACCTGCAGTATATGCGAAACTGGAACTCAACATCGGCTACCAATTTGTTCAAATCGCTAATTGATTCTGCCGAGAATCTTCCTTTTCTTCAAGAAATTACCATTATAGCAATGGTAGACACCGATTGGCGACAGAGGGCAGAGTTCAGACAGACATGGACTGCTAAGTTTAAGAAAGTGTTTGCAAAGAAATGGGAAGCACCGAATCCTCATCTCGCCTCGCTACGGGCATTCCGGGAATGGAAGGCGCAGCTTGGCGGCGGCGAAGATGACAAGATCGATTCATTCATCGAGGGCGTGCCGGAGAAGACAGCGGTGGAGGCTCAAGCCACCATGAATGACAACGGTGATAGCGATAGTGATGCGCCGTTGGTACCTTCGGGTGCACAAAAGCAAGAGGAGGGTTGGGGCTCGAAGCGGCTGCGGTCTCGCTCCAAGGCAGCGATGAGCTACGACGAGGAGTCCGATGACGGGTCTAGTTCTGAAGAGGCCGAAGGATCAGCTGAAGACGAGCATCTGTTTGTGCAGGGTCGGTGCCACACGGTCATTTTCCGTATTGACAACTTCCGCCCGCGCGAAGAGATCTTCAACGAGGCCGACTTTCTTGACGCTGAGCCCAGCGGCGACGAAGAATGGAACGGTAATGATCATGATCATGAGGATGGTGGTGGGTATGCGTGGTGATTTTCTATGGGTTAGTTTGCAGGCGTTGTTGGTCTAAGGCGTAAGGGATATGTTTTATGGGACACGCCGGCGTAAGAGATGGGCATGCGCGGTGAGACGAAAGTCAAAGTGGACATGGGACAGGCGTTGAATGAGGTGTTTTGTACAATATCCGTGTATGAGTATTGGGCGTGGGTTGGGCTCGTGGGTTGGGCAGCGGCTTGGTTGTTGCTGAGGATGACGACGAGGCGCTGTCTCAGCCACATGTAGGACACGGCCGTTGCAAGCGCCGTTGCAATATGCCGTTGACCAAATGGTTAACTGTTTATGGTAGACGTAATGATGCAAGCCAGCTGAAAATAAAGGCCCGCGCCTACGAAGGTGCGTCACTTTCCGGACTGCGCGTAGGGCACAACGGGCACAGCCTCGCAAAGCTTCCCAGCACCCTGGCCAATCCCCACTACGACGGCTAACAAGGTCCACTCGCCCATGGCCGTTCGCACGCCTGCCATATAACCGCTCGTCTGCGATGCATTAACAACCTCTCTCTCGCCTCTATCCTCCCCCCTACACGCATTCCCTTCGCCCACACGCCTGGTTGCTTCCCCAGAGCATCCCTCGCCCGACCCCGCATCTCATCTCCACAGCGCCAACATGGCCGTGCCGACGCCTCCAATCCCCCCAGTCTCGCCAGACTCGGGCCCTACCGATCCTACGCTACCCAAGCTTCCCGCGGGATGGATAGCCCAGTGGGACAATACGTATGTTTCCCTTGTAGTGCTCCCACGAGTCGCTGAGCCTGCCCCGCCTTTGCACCACACACCCCCGCGACACCGCTGACACACGCATACAGATCCCGAAAGTACTACTGTACGTTCACTGTGTCTGAGACTTCTTGGCAGCCAACGCCCGCACATGTGCTGACTCGTTAACAACAGATGTCCAGATCAGCACTGGTGTTTCGCAATGGGAGCTACCCACTAGTGAAGCGCCTATAGGCGGCAGTTCGAACCACAGCACTCCTGCACAGCACACGAACCCATACAGCAGCCCAGACGGCACATCAGGACCAGGCGCAAGCGACGGAACAAGAGGTATGGGCGACGGACAAACAGGCGACAGGGGAGGCGGATTGGGCGTACGAGACACAACCAGCCACCTGGGAGGCTTCGCTGACAATGGGAACAGGGCTTCGCCATGAACGCGCTCATGGGAGGCAACAAGCAAAACAACGGTGGCCACGGTGGTAGTGGCGGTGGCGGCGCTGGGGGCCTCGTCGGTCAACTCGCTGGTTCGCTGCTTGGAGGTGGAAAGCAATCTGGAAACTCTTCCGGCGGCCACGGCGGCAGCGGTAGTGGTGGAGCTGGAGGACTAGTCGGCCAACTTGCCAGTGGTCTGCTAGGTGGTGGCAAGCAGCATGGAAACTCTGGAGGGCAGCAAGGTGGCAACTCTGGCCATGGTTCGAGCGGTGGTGGTCTTGCCGGCGGCCTTGGAGGCATGCTCAGCGGCGCGTTGGGCGGAGGAGGATCTGTATGTGACTCTGGTCAAAGTATCAAGGTAACGTGCTGACAGACTACAGCACGCCAAGCCGAACAACGATTACGGCTATAGCGGCTCTGGCGCCCCATCAGGTGGATCGTACACTGGCACTGCGCCGCCCTCCTCGTACAACCCCGGTTCTCAGTACGGCGGTGGTCCTCAAGGTCACCCGGGCCACTCATCTACCCCCGGACAGTCGTACGGCCAAGGACATGGAAACCAGGGACAGGGACAGGGACACGGTGGCTATGGCTCGCAACAACACACTCCACAGCCACAGCAGGGACACGGTTATGGCTCACAGGCCGGTTTCGGTGGACAGTCTGGTTATGGTGGACCAGCTCCTAGCTACGGTCAGGGATCACCATCGTCAGGTCCTGGCGGCTACGGCCAGCAAGGTACGAATCTATCCCTCGAACTAATACAATAAAAGCTAACAATATATAGCGGGATACGGAGGTCCTGCATATGGCGCTCCTCCTGGCCCCTACGGCGGCCCAGGAAACTACGATAACCACCAGCACAACCAGTATGGTGGCGCCCCAACACACCAGAACCAGTACGGCGGAGGCCAACAGTATCCTCCACCTCCAGGTCAAGGAGGCAACTACGGCGGCCAACAGGGTCACCACGCGCCCCAGCCCGGCTGGCAGTAAACCTTGGACGATCATCTCAGGACGGAAATGGAGAAGATTGCTGCAAAAGTTGTTTTTCCAATCTTGACGGGAAAATGCGAGAGGGGGGTTCGGAGTGAATTTAGCGCTGGAGGATTGTCCTTGTGGATTCTCTTTGATCCGTGGGTTTGGGGGGCAATCTTGTAGTTTTTTTCTTCAGAGCCATGCGTATCCATTCTTCCAAATTGTGTAGACTTGAATCGCTATTGTTCTTTGTTCCGGTTCTTGGGTAACAACGTGCGTGTAGTGTGGTCTGTCTCCCATTGGAGCCCACTTGCTTTTCGTTCCTTGCTGGTCTCGGAGTAATGTGTCCCCCCCCTCTCTCTTCAATGTCATATTCTGTGCGACACTCAGTGCAAAGATAGCAGAGTTCGTGAAGGTTTCCCACTATTGTTCAATCCCTGCATCTGATACGGGACGCATGCCCACCATCCACACACTCTCTCTTTTGTCCCGGTCCAGTCCCACACCCTCTCCTCCAGCCTCACCTAAACACCTCACTCCCATCCCCCATCCCCCCAAGCACCCCAGCACCACCCAACACCCTCCACGCAACCCCAACCCTCCCCGCCTCAACCCCCACATCCTCGCCCTCAACCCTCCCAACCCAACTTCCCAGTGCAGCCCTCACACCCCGCACATCCTGCCTCGGCACCCGTATCCACACTTCCCGTCCCGCCGTCTTGAGTATATCAATGGGGATCGCCGCGCCCATTGTGCCTAGGTATGTGCGCAGGGCGGAGGTGAGGAGCGGGGAGATGAGAAGGGGGGAGATGTCGGTTGTTGGGGGTGAGGTTGCGGGAGGGAAGGAGGGAGATGTGAGGGCTAGATGGAGGTAGGACCAGGTTGGCTTGCGGAAGGTTGTTTGTTGGAGGATGTGGGCTGGTTTTTCGAGTTTGGGTGCGGGTTGGGGGGTTGCTGCGTCGGACATGGAGGTGTCTGCGTCGTTGTCTGTGTGCGTGGGAGTGACGTTGGGGGCGTTATCTTGTGCCATTTGTAAGGTTTGTGGGGGTGTTTTAGTGTTTTTTTTGTGCGAGCGCTGGATTGAGGGGTGTCAAGGTCTGGAATTATCCATCTATGTACGTACGGTTGGAGCTGTGGAGCTCAAGAAGTTGACGCGCTAAAACCCTTTTGGGTGGGGTTAACTAGCGTGTTGTAGCTTATCTCCGAGAGACCAGACCTTGTTCTTCCTCACTTACCTTCCTTAACCGTTTATTACCTTCACTTGCCACTAACTTATTCCCAACGGCAAACGGTGAGAATAAAACAAACTTTCTTCGAAAATCAAAAAACCCGAAATATACCTGATGTGAAGGAGTGTGATCGAGATGATAATCTCGTATTACAGAAAAAACCACAATAAAAAACGCCTGATAACAAGGCAAATTGTTGGGTCATAAACTTCATCTCGGAAAATAAGTCTCAGAAAGCCATCCAGCTAGGGGTATCATATGCTGAAGGGATAAAATCCCAAAAAAAAAACTCCGTCCAGAACTCCAATAAAAATCTTGAAAGCAACAACGGCACCCGATAGGGGCGTGTAGCTGTACTCTCAAGCAAAGAAGCATTCGTAGGCTTCAAAAGCCTATTGATTCCCCATGCCATTTTCCGCGCTGATACCAGAGTTGGTGTTTGCCTTTGATTGTTCAACAAGTGCTGGCAGGTAGCATTCCCAGTCCAGCGTTAGCGAGGAGCCGGGTATGCTTTTATTCAAGTTTTCGACAACCTGTTGGACTTGGGCCAAGACGGCAAGAGCTGTACCGAATAGGCCAAAAAAGTCTCTATTAGGTTCGATCAGGGTATCCTTAATCGTGTCGAAATCACGCCGGTGCTGGTACGCCGACATTTGCATGTCAGCGATCTGCCTGGCGATTTGAGACATCTGAGGCTCAAGAGAGTTCTTCATCATCTTTAGCTCATTGATGTCGATTTTAAGACGATGTTCAACTTCAACTAGTGCTTGTTGGACCTTGTCCTGAACTTGTGGGGAATGCTGTCGACAGAGGGCCTGTAGCTGTGGAGCACTTTTTGCAAGGACCTGCAATTGCCCAGCATTCTGGCACAAATCGACTAGAACTTCGGAGCGTCTCCGAACCCATGAGATGTCGTTGCAGTAAGATTTGATTTGGTTGACATCTTGTTGAAGTCGTACTGTGTCTCTCAGCAAAGTTGCACTTGTTGGATACATCTGCACAAACCAATGTACCATTTTCTGGTACATTTCGTCCGTGCTAATGTTTTGGTATCGATGCTCGAGGTCTTTCAATGCAAACAAAATGCTGTCGGTCCGTGTTCCCACAGCATCTGCGTCCGCTTTCGTTGCCAGCGCTTGGGTATTCGACAAAGTCTTTGTCTGGAGTAAAGACATGACATTCTTCAAAATGTCAATGTCATTGGTATGTGCGCTCAATTTTCCATGGATAGTGCCGAGCTGCTCTTCAACCTTAGACTTGAACGGGTCGAACTGCTGCCGGAAGAGTTCAGGGACTTGATTCTTCATAATAGCAATGGCAGTAGAGTGCTCGTGAAGCTTTTGACCGGTTTCATTGAAATCGTCAGAGAGCGAGTCGACTTCAGTCTGTAGGATTTTGACCTGATCCTCGAGGGCTCTCATGATGGTCATGACAGACAAATCATCGTTCTCCGCTTTTGCAGGCGCAGTCTCTGACAAAGTGCTAGACTGAAGTAGCTGAATATTGGTGAGCTTAGCATCCAGTTTTGCCTGTACAACACTAAGTTTTTCCGAAACGTGTTGGTCCAGGCCGGCGAGCTTAGCATCCGAATCTTCCCGTACAACGCGAAGTTCTTCCGAAACGCGTTGATCCAGTCCAGCGAGACTAGCTGTAAGAGATTCGTCTAGCACGATATGCTCTTTTAGAGTCTCTAATCCCTGTGAGACTTGCTCAACGCTTTCAAGTCGGCTATTGACGTCCGCTAGCTTTATCTCTAAGCTTCTCGATTCTACTCGTACAACGCGAAGTTCTTCCAAAACGCGTTGATCTAGTCCAGCGAGACTAGCCTTAAGAGATTCGTCTAGCACAATATCCTCTTTTAGAGCCTCGAATTTCTGTGAGACTTGCTCAACACTTTCGAGTCGATTGTTAACGTCCGCTAGTTTTGTCTCTAGGCTTCTCGACTCTTTCTGGGCAGTTTGAAAGCTCAGGAAATCTTTAGCGAGCTGCTCTACGTTTTGTGCAAGAGAGTTTACGCTGGAAGAAGAGATGCCTGGTGATGGTCTCTCAAGATTATCTATACGTGTAGCAAGGCTGCTAACGTCGACTGGTCTGATGACTGTATGCTGCCTCATTGACCGTGACAAAGTTGTTCCGTCGGTGTCGTCAGGTCTAGCATGATCGAGTATGCTTTCCTCAAGCTTCTTCAGGCGCCGGCTTGTGTTTTCCTCTGAGTCTTCAAGACGTGGCAGATCCCTCCTCGCTAGCCCTTTACAAAAGTTTGCACACTTGTCCAGTTCTGTTTTTAGATCCTCGATGATCCTTGGATGATGCTGGAATGCCTGAATGTCTTCTTCAATATCTTTGACTTTGTGCTGTGTCGCGTCAGAGGTTGACTGGATCTTGGAAACAATGTTGCGGATGCCTTGTAGTTGCTGAGGGATGCCTTTTAGTGTTGCTGACAAGTCCTTCATATCCCTGACCTTGTCTGAAGTACTCTGAAGTAATCTGCGCTCATCCATTATACGTTTGCTCAACTGTGTTTCCATCTCGGTCATTTCCCGACGTATTGAGGTCTTGATGTCCGCAGCATTCTCGCTGACTTTGTCCGCCACTAGCGTCTTCAGCCTATCGTTGATGAACGTGGGCACTCCATTTTCTGAAGCAAATATCTTGGTCACAGCGTTGCTTGCTGCCGTGGCCAGACTTGCATTGGCTTGGTTCGAAAGGGGGTCTATCTGTTCTAGACGTTTTTGGAGACTGGATAATCCAACTTCTGCTGCTGCTAGTCGATTTTCCACAGGCTCAAGTGAATCTTTTTCTTTGGTAACTAGCAAAGATTTCTCAAGCACATCTAAGCGGGTGAGTATGGGTTGCAAGGCCTCCGAAGAATACTCTTGCTGCTCTGTGAAGTTTGTTAAACAGTTAGAGTTTTGGAATACAGCCTCCACATTCCTTAATCTGCTATTGAGTTCCTCTCGTTCTTTTTTCAGTTGATTGATTTCCAGTTGCTGAGCTTCGAGTTTGAACTCTACTTGAGTGACTGATGAGGCGGACAGTTCACTTGGGCTGACCTGTGCCACTATAGCTTGTCGCTTGTCCCGGAGTTTGCGAAGTGATTGCATAGTAATGGGTTTGCGGTCGTTGACAGGATTGTCTGGACGTGGCGTGGGATTTGCGTGTGAGCTTGACTCGACCGGTAACATAGAAGGGGCGGGAGGTGCATTGCGCTGAGTAGGGGTAGATGGTCCGCTGCCTAGGTGAGTAGGAGACCTGGTGGGTGCATCATGCCTAGACGCTTGGTCGGCTCGGCTAGGTTTCTCTTGAGGACGTCTCGCAGGAACGGAATCGACTGATTTACGATCAAACGTTCCTTTGGGACCCACTGGAGTGTTGGTTGGCAGCGAAGTACATGAGGTTTTCCTCGATGATGGGGGACTAGGAATCTTGATGACGGGTTTTGCCACACGCGGTGACAACGGCGACGACAACGACGTAATGGTGAGTGAACGGGCTTTGTCTGATAGCGCTGACCGCGGCTCGTGTGCGCGGTTCCGTTTGCTCGGAGGGCTATCCACGCGAGACTGCGGCTCGAGCGGCCGTTTGCCCGTACGTGAGGTCATCGAGGAGTGAAGTGCAGGTAAAGGAGCGCAGAGGATGGACGAAGATGGAAATGAGGGAAGACGAGGGGGATGGGCAATCAGGCATGTTTGCCCCACTCGGCTACAACGCCAAGCAAGACAAAAAAATAGTGTAGGTAGCTACGTGGCGAGGGTGAGAGAAGAAGCAAATATATGGTCAACGAGTGCAAGCGGTAGCTGAGGATGTTTACCCTAGTCTCCGGATGCACGCTCTACTGGTTTGGTTGTGGGGATTGGCCGAGCTGATGCATCGGGGCAACGGTAGGGACAGAGCGAAGGTTATTGACTAGACCAAAAGAGATGTGGAGACGTGAGAGGCGCGCCTGCTTGGCCCGTGCGTCTGTCACTAGCGTCCGCCGAGCTTCACTCTGCGCGCCGACCGCGAATTGTTGCTGCTGCTGCTGCCATTGCATACCAGAGCTTCAAACCACCACCCCCAATACACTCCGCCATGGCCATGGTACGTGTCGGCCATATCCCCCTCCGCGACATGTATCCCCACCACTAACCCTCCCTAGCCCATCACCACCATCGCCGAGACCAAGGAGCTCCGTGGGCTCAACCTCATCGCTGCGCATTCGCACATTCGCGGGCTCGGCGTCGACGATGACACGCTCGAGCCAAAAGTCTCGTCGCAGGGCCTGGTCGGGCAGGCAAAAGCTCGCAAGGCGGCGGCTGTCATTCTCAAGATGGCGCGAGACGGCAAGATTGCAGGTCGCGCAGTCCTGATTGCCGGCCCCCCAAGCACAGGCAAAACGGCCATTGCCATGGGCATGGCGCAATCCCTCGGCCCCGACGTGCCCTTTACTATGCTGGCCTCGTCCGAGATCTTCTCGCTCGAAATGTCAAAGACGGAGGCTCTCACACAAGCCTTCCGCAAGTCGATTGGCGTCCGGATAACCGAGGAGAGCGAGGTCATTGAGGGCGAGGTTGTAGAGATACAGATTGACCGCAGCGTCACTGGGAGTAACAAGCAGGGCAAGCTAACCATCAAGACGACCGACATGGAGACGGTCTACGACATGGGCACCAAGATGATTGACGGTATGACCAAGGAAAAGGTCATGGCCGGCGACATCATCTCCATTGACAAGGCTTCGGGCAAGATCACCAAGCTCGGCCGCTCCTACACGCGCTCACGAGACTACGATGCCATGGGGGTTGACACAAAGTTTGTCCAGTGCCCCGAAGGCGAGTTGCAACAGCGGCGCGAGGTGGTGCACACAGTCAGCCTGCATGAGATCGACGTCATTAACTCGAGGACCCAGGGCTTCCTGGCTCTCTTCTCAGGCGACACGGGCGAGATCCGCAGCGAGGTGCGCGACCAAATCAACACAAAGGTGGCCGAGTGGAAAGAGGAGGGCAAGGCAACCATTGTGCCAGGTGTGCTGTTCATCGACGAAGTCCACATGCTCGACATTGAGTGTTTCTCGTTTGTCAACCGTGCGCTCGAGGACGAGCTGGCACCCATTGTCATCATGGCTAGCAACAGAGGAAACACACAGATACGCGGAACAGACTACCGGTCACCACACGGACTGCCACTGGACTTTTTAGATCGCGTTGTCATTGTTAACACGCACCCATATTCGTCGGAAGAGATGCAGCAAATCATCTCGATAAGAGCACAAGAAGAGGAGGTTGATGTGTCTCCAGATGCGCTAGCATTGCTTACCAAGATCGGGCAGGAGGCTGGATTACGGTACGCCAGCAATCTGATCACCACCTCTGACCTGATACGCGGCAAGAGGAACGGTTCCGAAGTTACGATTGAGGATGTGCAGCGGAGCTTTGCGCTTTTCTACGACCCAAACCGAAGCGTCAAGGTAGGTTTTCACAAGTCCTAGTTGTACAGGCTGAAGCTAACACAAGGTCAGTTTGTTTCCGAGTCAGAGAAGCGTCTGATTGGCGATGCGGGCGATGTATCTTTTGCCGTGGCCAACGGTACGGATGCCATGGATGTTTCATAGATGATGATCCTTTTTGTTTCCTCTTTGATTTGTGGCGTACTATGGTCTTGGACGAATCCAGCGTTTGGGCGTGAGGCTGAGAAAGCCCATGTATTTGGTAGAGCAAAAAAGCATGGCATGTACGTAGTAATAGAGGCTGTCCTATCTATGGCGAGAGAACAGTCGCTGTTGTCAAGTTAGTTTGATATGCAGTTACCGTGGCAACAGCTGCTGAAGTATGTGATAGGTCATCTTGAAGCATGGAAAAAAGGAATCATTGCCATGTCTGTCTTTGAAGAATGACCAGGCCAACTTCATGCGTGTAACCAACATTTGTACCGCCAAGAGCATTGGCGTAGTGGGAAAAGTGGCTCCCATTGCTGCCAAATGGACGATGACGAGGCCTTTCCGATTTGGGCAAGGACGCGATATCACGATTGGTATGCCAGACAACCCTGCGCCGCACGTTCGACCACTTTTGACAGCAGCCCCGCAGAGATACGTCAACATATCAGCACGATATCTAGCACAATGGCGGCAAATGCCTCCAAGCAATTTCACACTTGCAAGACACAAGCCACCACAGCCGCGAGCCGCCCGTTGTGGGGGTACATCATTGGCAATCACTCGCTTGCCTAAAGCTTAGCCATGCATTTGCTACATCTGAGTGGATCCTCTTCTCCCTGCCAGGGCTCCACTGTCCTGAATCGACATCTTGTTCGCTTCCAACGGTGCCGAATTTCCGGGGTAGCATGGCAGCAATGTCTGAAGCAAGGCATGTCCGGGCACAAGTCAACAGGGCTGGTGGCCTTAGTGTCGCGTTCAGTGCGTCATGTTGCCTTACGAATCCTTTGCGGCTCCCCGGCTCCATGTCCATCTCCGTCTCTTTTCTCCGTTTCTTCTGCTCCCTTTCCCCTTGACGTTGTTTGTGATTGCCGTCCACGCTGTGTCGATCGTTACCACCCGAAGCACGCGACCTCCTTCCTGAGTTGCGTCTCAATCTTCAACCCTTCAAACCCGACATACCTGCATACCCCAGGCTGACTACCTGGCCCGGTCGCCAATCTAATCCAGCGGGATACAAGGACTTTTCGTTAGAGACTTTGATGGTCCAAGGTTGTCGCAATTACGTACCTAATTAGGCAGACATCTGTTACATCGCGATGCGTTTATACACATGTGCAGCCACTGTGGCTACCGCATCCCTCTTCATATCCTCTCTCGCTGTCCCAACCCCGGAGAACACCTCTTTGGTTCGAAATTCACCAGCCGGCCGAATTGAATCGCGCGAGGACCAGAAGCCCAGCACAAAGTACTTCCATGAGCCTGGGTAAGTACCCACTCTCACTGTGTCGTTGCTTTGCACAGAAAGCTCTACCATCTAGGCCACACATCTGACAGCCTTCTAGAGGCAGCCTGACACTCGGCCACTATGACAAACGCTACTTCAAAGGCATTGTATCCGACGACGAACGGACTGACACCCAGAAACATATGATCCGTGCCTACTTGAACTTCTTCCGCGAAAACGACCTAGATACTTGGATCGCACACGGAACATTGCTAGGATGGTGGTGGAATGGAAAGGTGCGTCTGTTCTTGGTCGAGTAAAATATACCGGCTTACATTTTACAAAGCGTCTCCCCTGGGACTTTGATCTCGACACCCAAGTCGCCGACGGCACACTACAGCACATTGGCAGGGTCCACAACCAAACAAAGTACCCATACGTATCCTACGACGGCACAGTACAACGAGAGTACCTTTTAGACGTCAACCCATGGATATGGGAGCGCGAACGTGGCGACGGCGCAAACATCATCGATGCACGGTGGATCGATACCCGCAACGGTCTTTTCATCGATATCACGGGGCTCAGCGAAACACACCCAAAAGATCGTCCTGGCGAATGGGTCTGCAAGAATTATCACCGATATCAAACTTCAGATCTGTATCCTATGCGCGAAACCATATTCGAGGGTGTCGTGGCTAAGGTGCCATACAATTACGACAAGATACTCGTAGACGAGTATCAAGAAAAGGCTTTGGTAGTGACCGAGTTTAATGGGTACGTTGACCCGGTCTCGGATGAGAGAAGTATTGCTAATAGGATTGTAGGCACCGGTGGGATCCGGCGATAAGAGAGTGGATCAAGTCGCAAGAGGTAGCTGACAAGGAAGAAGCAGAGCGCAAGAAGCAGGCAGAGGAGGCAGCGAAGAAGGCGGAGGAGGAGGCAGCAAAGAAAGCGAATGAAGAGGCAAAGTCGGGCTAATTTAATCAGGGCTAATGAGGGGCACGCAGCATATATTTGGGGAAAATAGATGGCATGCATATTAAACGCGGGTTCTGCATATGTAGGTATTTATTAAAGTATAGTTTTATATCCCGTTGGAATAACGAAGGAGCATATCTATGAACATGATTACACAAATTTGCATCAGTTGTTTCCATTGGAATGCTGTTTGAAAATCGTGTGAGATAAGCCAATGTATCAACTAGTCCTCATGAAATATGAATTCCATGTCTTTAGAAACGCAAACTCATATTATCATACGGAATTTGGTAGTATTCGCCTCTCCTGACTAAGAAACCGCTTGCGCAAGTTAGATCAATGGAATGCCTTAGTGTTTTCTAAGACATTGAATCTAGTATACCCACTTATTCTAACAAATTACTGTAAACTCTCTTTTCATCAAGCGTCAATCAATTGACGCTGGTGTATGCATCCGTTTTCTGAATGACTTCTACACTCCCTTTGAGATGCATGAAGAGACCTCGACATCAAGCCATCGAAATATTGATTGATCATGTAAGAAGGATAAACACTTAGATACTCTCGAGGTTTGGTAAACAAAGGTGACTCCTAGGTTTTCAAGACCATTTTAGAATTAACCCTAATTGTTACACGGGGTTAGGTGCTGATACTTCTCTAATGCTCGATCCGGGTTAGGGCGAGTGAGTTGGTGTGTAGAGCGCCGTGAGGTATTTGTCTGGCGATGCAGTGGAGTGGGCGTG